TGTAAAAGAAAAAGAAATCGGATTAGCTTGCAGCTGCATATCACCGCAGCAGCAAGCGGAGATGCCGTGCAGCCTAGCTAGCTAGCTAGCTACCCCCTCCGCTAGCTAGCTAGCTAGCTACCCCCTCAGCTAGCTAGCTAGCTAGCTACCCCCTCCGCTAGCTAGCTAGCTAGCTACCCCCTCCGCTAGCTAGCTAGCTAGCTAGCTAGCTAGCTAGCTAGCTAGCTAGCTAGCTAGCTAGCTAGCTAGCTAGCTAGCTCGTTTCCCGTGTGTTTAGTTCGCTACCCTTTCTGCTGAGCTCCAGCAGGGCAGCTGGCCTCCCCCGGTAGCCAGCCGGCTAGCTAGCTAGCTACAGCTAGCTAGCTACAGCTAGCTAGCTAGCTAGCTAGCTAGCTAGCTAGCTAAGGATTAGGCGAAGAGATCCTCTCTGTCGCCGACGTCTGCCTCTTGCTGCTCGAGTTGAGTAAACTGCAAGAAGTGAGCTGGCCTGTATATAAAAAAAAAAAAATAAAATAAAAAATAAAAATAAAATAAATATAAATAAATAAATACATATTAATATATAAATATAAATAAAATATTACATGGATAGAAATTTGTTTTTTTTTTTTTATTTTTATTAATGTACCTGTTTGGGGTGTATCGACAGCCATAAGGAAGAAAACTTAACACCAATAAAACTATAAAATAAAATAAAATAAATAAATATAAATAAATAAATATAAATAAATAAATAAATATAAATAAATAAATAAATAAAATAAAATAAAAACTATAAATATAAATAGCTGTGTGTTTCATCATAGAAATATTGGGGTGTATAGGCAGCCAATAAATTATAATTTTTAAGTAAATGCAATAAAAAAACCAAATAAAGAAAAAAATAAAATAAACAAATAATAAATAAAATAAAATAAAATAAAATAAAAAATAAAATAAAAAATAAAATAAAAAATAAAATAAAAAATAAAATAAAGAATTACCTCTGTGTCTCATTCTAAGTAAAAAACAAAACACCACAAAAACACTAACTTTTTCAATATATGCAATAAACAAAAAAAACAAAAAGGACAAAATAGACAAAACAACATATTTTATTTTATTTTATTTTATTTTATTTTATTTTATTTTATTTACCTGTGTGTTTCGTGATAGTAATCTTTAGGTGTATCTAACATTAAACTATATTTCATCGAACTCAAAACTAAACACCACTAAAACACTAACTTTTTAAATAAAAGCAATAAACAAAAAAAACAAAAACGACAAAATAAATAAAACAAAACAAAACAAAACAAAATAAAATAAAATAAAATAAAAAATAAATAAATACCTGTGTGTTTCGTGATAGTAATCTTTAGGTGTATCTAACATTAAACTATATTTCATCGAGGTAGAAAACTTAACACCCATAAAATTATAGTTCCAGTTTCCTCCTCCTTCTTGGGGAACCAAAAAGAAACCCGAAAAAACATCAGATAACAACACAGGTACTCTCTCTGCTAGCCCTTTTGTATAACCACCTGGGTTTGTTGTTGCATCCTAAACACAAATAAATAAATTTATTTTATTTATTTATTTGTTTATGATACACGCGGGAT